AGCTGAGAACTCCGAAAGTTTGTTCCAGCCCAACGATTCTTACTGAGAGAGAGGCCCATCATTCAATCCAGAGAACACACGAGAGAAAGTTATAAGGAAAAAGAATAATAAAATAATAAAATAATAAAATAATAAAAATAAAAAAAAAAAGAAAAGGAAGGGCCAGGCAAGCTGCTTTATTTCCCAATCATCAAAGATCGTGTCTGTAATTTTGTTGGTTTACGTCCACATCAAACCACTGCTGGATTGAAGCCTTGAAGGCGATAAGGTCATCACATTCACCTCAGCGGGTCAAAACCAAAAAAAAAAAAAAGGGGAAAAAAAGAGGGCAGAGGGTTTTCATTTTCTCCACCTTCACTCGTAAACCCTTTGCCTCTTTTTTCCACATCCTTTCTGCTGTTGTTTATTCTCTTAAAGATTTCTGGTGAGCTTTTCCTCAAAATTCACGGATTTCACCCTCTGTTTATCTTTGTTTATTTTACTATTTCAAGTATTGCTCTTCACTTTCACTCGTTTATAGTTCTACTTGCTATTCTAGTTCTCCTATGCTTTTGGGTTTTTGGATTAGCTTCGAATTTAAACCCTAGGTATTTGGTTACTTTTTGTAAGGTTTGAGTAGAATTTTGCTTTGTTGGGTTTGGGTTTTTTTTTTCCTTCGTACTTTTTGAGGGACTTAGTAGAATTTTGTTTTGCTCGGTTTTGGTTTTTCTTTGTGCCTTTTCAATTCAAGTATATATATATGTTGCAATTGGGATTCTATGGCAGCTATCAATGGCGGCGTCTTTGGGAAGAGAATGGGCCGGAATACAGCAGTTTCCTGCTGCTACTCAGACTAAATTGCATGAACTGTTGGGAAAGTTAAAACAGGAGGTTCAATTCTTCCCCTTTTGTTTTCACTTCCACTTATTCCATTGCATTCTTTCCTAGAATTTGGAGCTTGGATTAATTAGTACCTGAAGGAGCTAAATTTTGCATATTGGAGTTATGTATCTGCTTACCTGTGGTGAAATGTTTCATAGTATTATTGATCGTAAAATTTTGTTGTAGAAAGTAACTACATTGACCATCCTTGTTATGGGGAAAGGTGGTGTTGGAAAATCCTCCATTGTGAACTCAATTATTGGGGAAAGAGTAGTTCCTGTCAGCGCTTTCCAGGTACACTTTATGTTTCTATATTTTCTCATCATGAGGCGGGGAATGTAAAGTAAGAATTCTTTCATCTGGTTTGGGATTGTAATTGTTTTCCAGTCAGAGACCCCTAGGCCGATATTGGTTTCACGAACAAGGTTAGGATTTACACTCAACATTATCGATACCCCAGGCCTTGTTGAAGGAGGATTTGTCAATGACCAAGCTCTTCGGATCATAAAAGAGTGAGTGTTACTTTAATGTTTTACGTGCTAAATTTTGACTCAGCTGCTGTTTCATTTATGTTACTTGCTCCACTTTAGGGTTGGAAATCAAGTTTCACCCATTCAAAACTGACATTACTCTTAAAATTCTGCTTCTTGTTAAACTGGATGGTAAATCTTTTTGCATCTGTCAGAGTTTCTCATTCTTTTTTGCTTAATATTAAGATCTAAATGTGGGAAATTATTGTGCGCTACTCTCTTGACAGGTTCCTTCTGAACAAGACTATAGATATTTTGCTATATGTTGATCGTTTGGATGCATATCGAGTTGATAATTTGGATAGGCAAGTTGTAAAGGCTATAACTGATGGTTTTGGCAAAGAAATATGGCGTCGAGGACTGGTTGTTCTCACCCATGCTCAGCTTTCACCTCCTGATGGACTCAGTTATGAGGAATTCTTCTCCCGAAGATCAGAGGCTCTTCTAAAAGTTGTCCGCCTTGGAGCCAGGATAAAAAAACAAGATATTCAGGTGTGTTACTTTCTTTAGTATTCACTGCTGCTATTCTCTTTAAAGGTGAATTCACCAATTAAATGATAGCACAGTGCAAGAGAGATAGGATTTTAGTGGCATTGTGAATGGAATTGAGGAAATTGTTTACAAGAAATCTGAGAAATTTTAACATTTTCTTGTGCATTATCTGAATCTATCTAACATTACTATAAAAGTCTTTGGCATCAAAATAGTACTGGTACTGATTCCTGGGAGGATGATGAGTGTTTGTAGCTGGATTTTGTTCATCAGTTCATTGTTCTGTTATTGATGGTGTTGGGATAGGAAATGGGATAGCTTAGGGAACTTACAGAGAGGTTCAAAGTACACAACTCTAAGTATGCCTGACCCATGAAAAAGACCAATCTAACTAATATGAATTCATTTGTTGCATGGCATATGGCTAGACGCTTTGCTGTCACCATGGTGAACAGATATTAGGCGACTTTTGCTGCCTAGCTGGCCATTCATAGTTTGTTTCTTTCTTTCCCTTTTTTCCCCCCCAATAACATGTTGGGTATCTAACCTACATGCTACCCTGTTACATGGGGAGTCAAGGAGTTTTGCAAGTTAATTCTGAGGTAATGCTGCATTGATTTTATACACACGCACACATATATATATGGCAGTCCATGTTCTTCAAGTGCATTTGCAAAAAATACAAAGGAGATGGAGTGCAAATAAAAAATGTGCTCTTCCTCTTTCTCTCACACTCCCATATATGTATAAATTTCATGTTCTCTTTTGTACTTGGGAGCTCCGAGATGGTTTTGTCCCTTATATTACATGTCGTATACTGCTCAAGTCAAGCTGGAGTAGGTCAACTGTCAGTGTGGATGTAGTTATACATTTTGTGGATGTAGTGACAGGTTTGCATTTGTGAGCATTAAATGTGCAAGAGTTGGTGGCTGGAGGATTGATTGTGTTTATTCAGACTTGTGTTGTTTATTTTTATGTGTTTTCTCAGTGTGGCAGAAGTAGATAGTAGTAACAAACAATTACTCACAGCGCACATCTTTCGCAGTCCAAGTAATTGAAACTAAAATTCTTAGTAAATTACGGCCAAAATGTAACTTCTAGTCTTCCATCCCTGTCCTTTTATATTTATACTTCATGTTTTCATGTTCTTTTGAATCTAACTTTTTCATTTTTTGCTTCAGAATTCTCCTATTCCTGTTGCTTTAGTTGAGAATAGTGGAAGGTGTAATAAGAATGAGAATGATGAGAAGGTTTGTTGCTGCCATGTGCATCAATTTTCCATTTTTGTTATCTTCTGAGTCTCTTACATCTGATTCTACATTTTTTTTTTTGGGTGGCAGATTCTTCCTAATGGAACTGCTTGGATTCCTAATTTAATTAAAACTATCACTGATGTCGTCTTACGTGGAGGTAGGAGCATTGTGGTTGATCGAAAGTTGATTGAAGGACCGAATCCTAATGACAAGGGGAAGTTAGTCATACCTTTGATTGCAGCCTTCCAAGTAAGCTCTGAAGTGTTTTTCTTTCCTTCCACAGAAGTTATTTGAATAGGATTCGATCTGATTCATCACTTTAATTTGTCCACAGTATTTCTTTGTCATCAAACGGATTCAGAAGTGGATAAGAGAAGATATTGCGCAAGAGGGTAGACCTTCATGGGCCTGAATTATCATCACTATGGAATACGCATATCCGCTTTCTTATGTCGAACTAATTTCCTGCTGGTGAAATCAGTGGCTGTGCGGCGTTTACCTTTGAGTTCGAGTTATTGGAGCACCAGTCTATGTACTTTTTTTTTTTTTTTTTTTTAAAGTTTTGCAAACCAGCTTTCAATTCTATGTAGCCTTTCCTGTTTTTCCAGTTCATGGAGCAGCTTTGAGTGTTAGGTAAATGTGTGCTAATCATTTCCAGCTTTGTGAACAATTCTTTATGTTGGCATTAGTCGCCCAGTTGCAGGGTTTCTAGCTTTTCTTCTTTTATGACTTGGAAGACATTGCTACGGACGCTTCTGTTCTTTAATATCCTAATAATAATCAGTCATTCTCACAGTTCACTGTTCAGCAGATGGTTCGTTTTTCTTTTTCTTTCTTTTTTTTTATCGTTCAGAAATTATTGGGGCTCTTGTGAAATAATTTGGTTGGGTTGAATATTACAGGAAAATCCTATTTTGCTTGCTAGGGGTTTGTTTGAATACCCCATTTTTCCAAATAATATTTTGCTATTCGGCTAGGCAGCTAGCTCTTTCAGGCTTTTGGCAAAACTCCCGGCAAACTTTGGTAACTTCATGGGGGTCCTAGTACGGCTTACAGTTTTTTTTTTCTTTTCATATATTCTTTCTAGAATTGCACGCCACCATCCATTCCTGTAAGGTCCATTTTCAAAGACAGGAATGTTATACTTGCATGAAGGTCAAAGAACACCCAACCAAAAAAAAAAAAAATCACGTATCGCCGTATACGAGTTTTAAGTCTGGGCACAAAACGCGAATTGTACCCAAGTCACAGTTGATTTTTTTTTTTTTTTTTGGGAAAGAAATCACAGTTGGACTGAACTTAAGGGACCACAAGAATTACACCTATTATTATACACAAAAATTGCACTGTTTTCATAAGAATAATTCTTAATTGGTTCCAAAATAGCTCTTGCAGGATTAGATTATGGCAATCGCTGCAGGCAGTTGATGGCCAAGATTTGATCAAAAAAAATTGTAAGGTTTAATTTCATCTGATACCTCGTTTTTAACATCATATGTGGGTTCACAAATTTTTATTTCTAAAGTTACACGTTGTTAAAAATGAGTTACACCGAATATAAATAAAGTTACGCTGTGTGTATTATGCACATAATCTTCAAGGTTGCTCCTGCCCCTGTCCAAGCCGAATTGGTCTGAAAATCACGTTGTCATTGGTATTGGGCCCCATTCTATTACCTTCTTTGGGCCCCTCTATCCTTTTGGTCAGACCCTTTCCTCTGCATGAATCTGCCCAACCAAGTCCGTCAACTCTTAATTAAAAAAAAAAAAGGGGTAAAAAGGGAAAACTGGAAGGGATATGTATAAATAGCAACTGCTACAGCCTACGGCGAACGGACACTTCATTTCTTTGGCGCGAAAGAACGGTAGTGACAAACTTCTGAATTCAACATCAACTTCTTCTTCATTCACGATCTCGGTGCAAGGTGCAACCCATTAAATCACATTCCATCTTCCTTATCTGCGTTTCTTCGTCGGTGTTGGACAAATGGGAGAAAATCCCAGTTGGGTACTTCAATCTGGTTGCTACTCCCCAACTCGCCTCCGCAGTCCTGTTGACTACGACTTTCCGGTACTGCACGGCACTTTCTTGATTCATTTTACCATGAGTTCCTAAACATCTTTAGTTTTGTAGTACTTTTTCTCAATGAACTCTTCATGCTTGTGTTCCATAAACTTCACCATATAATACTGAGTTCTTGAATCATTTTCACGCAGGGAGATAGATTTATACCCAATAGGAGCCTGATGGATCTTGATCATGCCAAGAGTTTATTGACAAACAGGACTAAAGAGTTGGAAAAGCCCAAATACAGTGTTAGTCGCTTTTTGTTCTTCTGGATATTCAGTTTTTCTTCACGTTAGTTTTCATTAAGTTCTTGAAGATTCGATTGCTGTATTAGTAATTTTTATGTTACTTTTCTTAATTTTATCTTGTTCATTGCTTGAAGTTTGAGATTAAACTATATCAGATATTTCAGATTATGAGTCTTTTTCTTGGGTTTAAGAACTCATCAAAACTATATTTAATGTGTGCATTAAGTTCTTCAAGACTCACGGTATTGCTCTCCAATTGTCTTTCTTCTTGTTTGAAGACGCCACTGAAACTAATGTACAAATGCTGATTGATCGATCTTGTTGGTGGGTTCTAAGAGCTAATTGATAACTAAAAGCTGGTTCCTCCGTAATTTGGATTCTTGTATTTTGTGTAGAATTTAACATATGTTAAGAGTTTTGAGGTCATTCTACATTCACTTCTTTGGTTTTCTTGATCAGGAGGAGTACAGCAGGAAATTAAAGGAGAATCTGACTCTAGATGTTGAAGGAAGGCCCTACAGAATGCTAGTCTTCAGGGGAAGCCCCAAATCCAGCAGAAAATCCTCGCGCCTTATTGATGAAATGCGGAGAAGTGACGAGGACACAACAAATACTAGGGATTCTAATAAAAATCGATCCTTCCCAAAGGTGAAATTATAAGTGTAGACTATTATAGATTATGCATGGTGAATTATGTGTTTTCTACGTTACCAGAAAAGTATGTTTTACTTTCCCTCCAACTAGTAATATTACATTCTTGAAAATTGAGATCTATTTCCCCAACCAGAAAGACACTGTTAGCAGAATTTTTTGCTATGTTAAATCTGTTTCATTTGCTTTGAAAGCTGCAGCTAAAACTTCTTATTTAGAAAAAGTTCTGGATTTTGTGATGCAGAAAGAAAGTCTTGTTTTGGATGCACCAAACTTGAATGATGATTTCTATATGAATGTCTTGGATTGGGGAAGTGGTAATTTGATTGCTGTTGCTTTGGGCTCAGCCTTATACACCTGGAATCCTAGTAACAGAGCAATTCATAAATTATTGGACGTGGACAGTCAATGTGATTATCCTACAAGTCTAGCCTGGTCGGGGGATGCCAGAAAGATTGCTGTTGGACATATGTGCTCTGACGTACAGCTCTGGGATGCCGAGACTTCAAAGCTCGTACGCGTGGCTTCTTTTAGTCTCATATTTTTTAGATGAACTGACCGGTGATTATTACCTTCAAAAATTTGTAGATATTGAACATTGTGATGGTGAATTTCTTGCGCAGGTTAGAAGCCTAAGAGGCCATCAGAATAAAGTGGTATCTGTAGAATGGAATGGTCACATCTTAACATCTGGAGGCAATGACAAAGCTATTATTAACCATGATGGTACCAGTCTAATTAAGTCTTCTCATCTTCGATGTAATCTTTTGCAAGCATAATAAGCATGTAGCCTCGTTTGCTTAACCTGCATTTCTACGATTCTCTTTGGCAGTAAGAGCTAAGAAGAGTTTGACATGCTACTTGAGAGTACACACTAGGGGTGTCTGTAGTTTGAAATGGTCAAGAAGAAGCAACATTCTAGCAAGTGGGGGAGATGACAACCTTGTCTACATCTGGAACGCATCTAAGATGAGCTCATCACACTACATGTATCGCTTGAATGCTCACAGTGCTGCGGTCAAGGCCCTTGCTTGGTGCCCGTATAATAGTGATGTCCTAGCTTCTGGAGGAGGGCTTCTTGATGGCAGTCTCAAGTTATGGAATGTGCAGAAAGGAGTTTGCATTAACAGCATAAATACTCATGCCCAGGTCGGTCTAGAATAATCATAGTGATTACCAGTAAATTCTGTGATCACCTTTGGTAAATTCTGTAATCCAGTTATGATGAGTTCAAGTCTTTGATGCATGAAGATTGACTGCATTTGCAGAAATTTCGCTATCCATTAGTCCTGCTATCACTTTTGAGTCCCCGAGAGATGATAGTTGAATGCATTTTCTGAAACTTTCTGTTGTATCTTGAAGCCTGGTTCCTTTTGAAGACTCTGTCTATACGAACATATGAATGCTGCACATCACTAAGTTCGATTTCTCATATGGGTGCAGGTATGTGCGTTGCAATGGAACAGGCATCAGAAAGAGATACTGAGTGGGCATGGGTTTAGCTGGGGAAACACTGACTGTGGAAATCAGCTCTGCTTGTGGAAGTATCCTTCTATGTCCAAAATAGGAGGGTCAAGCAAAAGCGATTCCAGAGTTCTCCATCTTACTCAGGTGCCAAAGTTAGTCCATATAAATGAAACAAGAGCAACACTGTAGAAAACTAGTTGCCTGTTGAATCTAAAGATAAGCATGCTAAGAAATCTTAAATTTGATGCAGAGCCCAGATGGATTAAGAGTGGCGTCAGCTGGAGCAAACGAGACCATTAGCATCTGGGAAGTTTTTGGCCCACCTCAGGCTAATGAACCAAGAAGTTCAGGATTGGATAGCCTGTTAGCTTTCAGGGCATCCCCTATAAGATAGATAGATCACTTGAAAATTTCGCAAGACACTGAAAACAATCATCATCTCATCTCTTAGCGTATCTGAGTTCGAGTGTATATTTGTTTGACAGTTATTTCCACTGCAGAGTCTCCAATCACACAAGGTAGATCAACGGACACCTGAAAATAAATAGTTTTCATTAGTAGCGGGACCCAATTTCATCTTTTCTCTTAGCACAATTCTTCAATACCCTCAAACCATCCCGTCTCATTTTATGATTACAGGTTTTATCGAAGAGAATTTTCATGCCCACATATGTCCCCCCCCCCCCCCCTCTTCATGTTTCATCACACTGAATGCGTGATACTTGACCCTTTCTTAAGGATAGTCTTTCTAGGAAACACATTCTTAGAGATACATTCTTAGGCTAACAGAAGATACAAGGCCATGCAGAGGCAGAGATGAAACAATAAACAGAAAGCAATGGCAATTATACAGTAAATATTCCATTTTGCTCAAGTGTATTGCAGTTGATTGGCAGATTTAGTTCCACATTGCCAGAAAACAAATGCTGGAAACTAGTACAAGAAATTGCTGATGCGTAGTATTATCTACTAGTGTGTGGGATTTTTCCCGAGGCCTTTGAGTTCGACATTGGTCCATTCAACGGATGCTGGTTAAGCATTCTCTTAGAAACAAACTCAGCTTCTTTTGATCTTCCTTCAGCTTCAAGAGCTACTCTTAACTCTTGAAGACAGCTTAAAGGCTGTTGAATTCCTTGCTCTAACAATTCATAGTAAAGTTCGAATGCCTCATTTACTCTTTTGATCTTACACAGACCATTTAAAACTGTGTTGCACACACCCAAATCAACTCTCTGACCACTCTTTGTGCCAAAAAGCAACATCTCACGAGCCTCTAATAGCTTTCTCTGCTTGCAGAGGAAAATAATTAACTCTTCCATATTAATTATATACCCATATTCATAGAGACATCTAACGACCTCAAAAGCTTTATCCCGCATGCCAGCTTTAAATAACACTATTACAGTATCTGTTGCTATATTCAGATTGTGTCTGATCTTTTTCTCTAACATTAACATCACCATGCTGAAGGATTCATGAGCACAACCCTTACTAACAAGCCGAGCTAGAGTTCGATGGAAAATAGACGTTCTAGGAAGATGAGAGCTCTTCAACATCTTCTCTAAAGTCTCATGAGCAAGAATCGGTTCATCCTCCTCCAAAAGGCCCTCAATTAGGGATTCATAAGTCTCAAAATCGGGTACAAAATCTCGCCTCAACATCAAAACCAAGATTTCAAAAGCAGCCTTAACGGTACCTTCTCTGCAATGGCCCATCATAATTGTTTTAAAAGCAGAAGCATCCTGTCTTCCCCTTTTCAATAGCTGCTTGAACACTTTCTCAGCCATCTCTGTCTTGCCACTTTCAGTCAAATACCGGAACATGGGGTTGTATGATGCAACTAGAGGTGTACACCCTGCATCATGCAGTAAGATCTCCTTCTCATATAACTCTCGAAACAATCCCTCTGCCTTCTCAAAATTCCCTTTCTCACAGAAACTCCGAATCAACATACTATATGTTGCTGAATCAGGGTGAACCTTCAACTCTGACATCTTCTGAAAAATTTTGAATACCCCATCTAAATTTCCGTCGCTGCAATGTGCATTCATCAGAGTATTAAAAGTACACGTATCAGGAACAAATCCTCCATTCTCTCCACCGCAACCATCCAATATCTCTTTTACCTTATTAAGCATACGCGCCTCACATAGTCCTTGCACAAGGGTGTTATAAGTAATCTCATTCGGTTTCAGCCCTCGACAGGCTATCTCCTCAAAAACATCTAAAGCTTCATCAATCTCCAGCTTCTCACAATACCCTCTGATCAAAGTAGTGTACGTAACAATATTAGGACTCAAATTTGGACCTTTATTAAGCATACCCTTCATGACATTATGCGCAATCTTCACTCTACCGTCTTTACACAGACCGTCAATGATCGTATTATAAGCAATTACATCCGGCTGGCAGTTAAACTTCTCCATTTTCTTAAAGAATCTAAATCCTTCATCAACCATAGAGTTCTTACAAAACCCTCTTATCAAAATATTGAAACTATACAAATCAGGCTCCACGCCATACGTCTCAAGCATTTCATCAAACAGTTCGAAGACCATGCCGGTTCTGCCCCTCTTGAGCAAAATTGAAAATAAATGATTGAACGTAATAACAGAGGGTGAAACCCCAATGGACTTCATGGTTTTGAATATCTTCAGGGATTCTTTAAAGAGCCCAGCTTCGCCAAAGGCGCGAATCAAACAGTTAAAGTGCTTATCCTCCAGCTGGACAGCCCCATTAGACTTTCTCGGAATGGATAAGAGAAAGTTCCGGGCGGAGTTGAAGTTTCTTGCCTGGCAAAGGAGCTCAAGCATGAGGAAGTAGGATTGAGGAGTGTGGGTGAATCCCGATTTGTAAGCCCAGTGGAAGAAATGGAGGGCTTTGGCAGGGGTTGTGATGAGGCGGAGAGTTTGAAGGACGGTGGTTTGGGAAAGTGAGGATTGGGCGAGTGAGGCTTGAAGATCGGTTGACCAGGGCCTGGCATTAATCAGTCTGGCCATGGTTCGGGCTCTCTTAGTTTTGGTAGATGATGATTTTGATTTGGATAATTGGGCATGGCCATTGCTTCTACCAACCGTAGCCTTGTGATTGCTGTTTTTGGCGGCGGTTTCTGGTTGAGATGAATGGTGTTTGATAAATGGTGAAGGAGGTGGACGTGGTGCTTTGCAGTTGCAGAATGTTTGGGCTCTTGGACTCAAATTGGCGGCCATGTTGAAATGTGTTGGGCGCGCGGCTGCTGGCGCCAGGCGGGTGTATTATAGGAGTGCTTTACCATTTTCTTTTCCTTTTTTCACTGTTTGCTGAAATTGAAAGATCTTCTGGGGATTTAGAGAAAAACAAAAGGTGGGGGGGAAGAGAGAGAGCAAAAATTGTTGCTAGTTTGGAAGGTGAGCATATAAAGTTTAGAAATTGCTCCACCCCTTGCCAAAAATTTGGACATTTAGTTCCACCACCAATTCCTTGTTTATTCAAGCATAAACCATCTGACCATGTAACACAGTACAGGAGATGAATACAAGCTAGTGTCCTTAGTTTAGGTTGTCATCCTAATCCTACTACTGCTACTACATTAGGCAGTGTAGGTGAATCGGGCGCACATTACAGGTTTCCAAGACCTTGGCAACGTATGGACTAGTTATAAAGACCCGACCTTCTGGAACTTTTGTCAATGTGCAGTAGCAGGCTTCCCACTGCTTCTGCAAGTTGGCGCAGCATGTAGAGGATGGTGGTGGTGGTGGTGGTGGTTGGTTTGTTCTTATCACCCTCCCGCAGGGAACCACCAGGGCGTCGTGACAAAGCTCTACCCTCCCATAATCTAGCGACATATCGGCAGGGATTGTGGCCAAAACAGAAGCCAATATCGCTAGCAAGAATGCGACACTGGAGTCTGATAATTTTCCTCCTCGCCATTATCACGCAGTGATTGATCGAAGAGGACTTGATGGAAAGGAGAACTAAAAGACAAAAGCTGTCATTTACTTTCCTGGCGACCAGACTCACTACATACATAAAAGACAAAAGGTGTCATTGGTAAACATCCACTGCCATACCACTTTCAGATCAGAGGAAGACATAATTGTAGTTTGAAACCAAGTAGTAAATGGACACCACTTGACTCAATTGCGTTTGTGAAGTGATGACTTAATGTCTGATAGGGTATCCATTAAGGATTTGTAATTATCTTTCAAATAATCTTTTGGTGCTGCTGTGGCATTCTTGAAACCATAGTTATGAAAATGCTCAATTAGTCTAATTTATTATAGAATCAATAATTCTTATAAGAATCAATAAAACCTAAATTTAATCAGTAATCCATCAAACTTTAAGTATAAAATTTTATTTAAGTGTAATTATCTAGTTTATTTACGAATTTTAAGTGCAAAAGGTTATTAAGAATGATATTAGCCTTTAAAATGAATTGTGTAACTTATAGGATTTGGGAAATAATAAAATTTTATTAAAAGATTTCAAATAAATTTTGTTTTGAATAAATAAAATAAGAATAAAAGTCTAATTTATAATATAAGAAGGACCAAATAACCAATAAATGGGCTGTTGGTTTCATGGTAATTGTACTTTATTTCTATATGTGAGGTCCCATGTTTGAACCTTAAAACGCTAAAAGCCCTTTTTTCTTTTTTTTTTTCCCTTTTTTTTTTTGTTTCAACTTCTACTCTCTCGGGTGGAGCCGTCAACATTTTATGTTAGGATCTTTCTTTTTTTTTTTTTTATGTTAGCATTGAAACATGAAAGTTTTCTTTAAAAAAAAAAAACCATGAAAGTTCTATAAATATTACGTGTAAGTTGTGCCTGTTGCTCCATATGGGCCTGAGTTTACGAGTAGCCCACAAAAAGTAGGCAACACAATGTCTGGACCTGCAAACCCTTCTTCAACCGTTGTTTTCCAATATGAGGCCCACAAAGGAAACGCATCCAACGATTCATTTTTCAATCCAAACTTGAATGCTCCCCATTGAAGCACACAGAAAAAACATTCAATTGTTTTTTCATTTTTCGCCTCTCTTCCATTTCGACTCACAGCCCGAAAGATCCGACCTAAAGTGAACAAAAATGTCATTGAGGCCTGTCTACTAGAGTTTTGGAGTTTTGAAGTGATTTGATATATGTAAGATTAAAAAAAATATTGAGGAATTTGTTCAAAAAAATGAAAATTTTTAAAATTTTTCTAGATTAAGATGGGGGTAGTAATGCATAAGCATATGCTTAATTTAATTGATTAACTTCTGGCAATGATGATAAATTAAATGGTAGCCCTTGCTTCCTGTTTTTGTCATGTGATGCCCCATCCCTCCGAACACGATAATCATAGGACTCGGACCTTTGCGGGCACTGGATACCAGCTTCTAAGGAGACTTGTTGAAACCAATCGAGGTGCCCATGAAGGGTAGACAATTTGGTGGGAGGCAAGGGTTGAACCCCTGACCTCCCATCTCACCAGAAGAGGTGGTGGCCACTGAGCTTAACGATGCGATTGTTGATTGATCAAGTAAAAGTTGATTGGTTTAACAAATTCTTTTTTAATAAATAAAAAAAAAGGACGCATAGATATTATTGATATGATTTCTCATTCAACACCATTACTAGTTTTCGAGCATATAAGAGAAGATACATCTGAC